AAGAAGGAAAGAAAGGAGAGTGGCGATGCCGAGTTCGAAAAGAAGACATGCGTTTCAGCAGCAGCACAATGCAGCTCCACACCACGCCGCGCATCTCCACCCCCTCACCGTGGTGTGTGACAACAACAACGCCAGCCCGGCAATACACAACTCCGCATATGCGTCAGTGATGCGTACGACTCGCAGCGGCGACCCGGCATTGAGCAAAACACAGAGTGAATAAGTGAACCAGAGAGAGAGAGAGAGAAAGTATTTGCTTGTTAAAGCGAAAGTACGAACAGACGAGACACACACACACACAGGAAAAAAAAGGAATGCAGACATTGAACGCACACAGGGACGTCTTCGCACAACGGAATGAACCAAGCGTATAGCATATGACGCGTATAGACGAAACAAGACACACACACACACACACACACAAAGAGAGATAGAGATAGAGAGAGAGAGAGAAAGAGAAAAAAAGATCACTCGAAGTCCCTCGTCCCATTTTATTTCCTTTCCTTTTGCTTTAGCCTTTATTTGACGAAGCCCTCAACATCCAAGCGTGAAAGTGTGGTGCGGAAGGTAAAACGAGAGAGTGCGCAAGAAACGCACACACCACAGCGAGTGAGCACCAGCAAAAATAAAGCATAAAGCACAAACAATCATTTATTCCACTCCCCTCTTGAGCCGCATCTGTGACGGCTTCCTTATGACTGCAGAAGCAGAAGAGAAACATGAAGAGGAGTAGAAATCAACAACAACTGCACGTACGGAGAAATTGAAAAGAATGACCCAACAAGAATGCACGAGAGATCCCGACGAACGGCACCGCCCCACAAACAAATGGTGGCGTGTGCTACTGTTGTCAGTAGTACGCCGTCTGCCCCTCATTCGCGGAAAAGTATATATATATATATATATATATATACATATACGAAACACAAACACACAATCCTGTATTCACAGATTGAATGTCGCCATGCGACACGACTAAACGAAAAATGACAATAACTACTGACGTTCCTTCTTTAAACGCGTCAGTGAAAAAAAAAACCCAAAAGCCAGATGGGCATTGTGTAACACGCACACATATGCGCGTTTATATATATATATATATATTCTTGTTCGTGAGTGAGTGGGTGCTTTGGCGACGAGCGGACAGCACCGCAATTGGGATAAACTTGACCACACACACAAAGAAAAACATTTGCCTCACGTCGAATTGATGGAGAGGTTCAAGCTGTCCTCCATCCCTGCAGTAGATTCCCCCCCGTGTGAGGCCTCAGCCGATGCGTAGTCGGCCTCAAGCGGGCATATCTCCTCTACGGCACGCGTAACCATCTCCACCCATTCCACGTCCCATGTTACGGGGTGGTCGAGCACCTCCTCCGCCGTCATGCGCTGCTGCGGGTCGCGGTGGAAGAGCGCCTCTAGCAGTTCCACAAGACTCTCTGGCAGCTCTGCCTTGCCAGAGCCGAGGAACGCGGTGCTGTTGGTGCTAATGTATGCCACAGCACGTGTAGAATCGCAGCTCGTGCAGCTCTGATGTTGTGTATCCTCCGAGTCTTCATGGTGGAAGGGGTCATTTTTGTCGCGACGTGTGATGGATGCACCACGGCGGCGCGGCGCCACTGCCTCACGACGTTCGTTGCAAGCGTCATTATAGGCGGTCTTCATCGCCCCCAATATCTTTTGCGCTGTGCTCTCCCCGTAGTGGTGCTGAAGCGTCCCACCCTTGTAGTTCGCCACAGTAATGGGGAGGCTTCCTGTGGGAGGAATCGACTTGTACAGCTCCACGAGCGCTGGCATGTGCAATCCCTGTAGGTGCCCGAGGCGTAACCCAATAACTTCCGCTACCAGACACCCAAACGACCACATGTCACAGGGCTTTCCATATGGCTCCCCGAGCACCACTTCAGGTGACATGTACGCCAGAGTTCCTTTCATATTGGTGAGCGGTTTTGCGGTGCGTTCCTCTGCAGCGCTACCAAAATCGCCAATTTTCGCTACACCGTTGACAAACAGGATATTACCAGGCTTAATATCACGATGGACGATGCCTTGGGAATGAAGGTATGCTATACCACTAGCAATGTCGTGTAGAACAAGTACCAACTCTCGTGCTGTGAGGTGCTCGTGTCCCTTTAGAGTTCCATCGGAATCCAAATTGGATGTAGTAGGTGTACTAGAAACAGAAGAAACTTGAAATGGTGCAGGCGCCGATAGCCGCGGCAAAGGTGGCTGCTGGCTCCCCAGTCGCTGCTGGTTTCGGTTGTTTTGAGACGTTACGGAGTCGCTGTGTATTCGACTATCCAATGTCCCATCACATAACTCCATAAAAATGCAATAGGCGTTCTCCTCCATAGAGGAGTGGGAGAAACCGACTATGTTCGGGTGATCCAGCTGGCTCATTATCAACACTTCACGGTTAAGTTGTTCAAGAACGTGGTTATTAGCACCATTGAGGAACAGACGCTTCATTGCCAAGCGTCCGCGCGACACGAAAACATAAACTTCGTATACATCCCCAAATGCACCACCGCCAATCTGACGAACAATCTGGTAGCTCTTCCGCCAGCGAATTTGCACCATCTCGTGACGAAGCCGGCGCTGCCGGATATATAGACTCACGTTGTGGCCAATTGCAGGATCAGTGAAGATATCCGCAATGTCACGCATCCGCAGTACCGCTTCATCGGGTGTTCCTGGTGGCAGCGGAAGGCTATAGACATCCTCGTTGAGTAGATACAACGTAGTCGACTGCTTTCCCGAATCAGCGGCGATGAGGTCGCGAATATCTGGCTTCACTAGTTTCTCATTCCACTCGATGAAGACTACATCAAAGATATTCATGCCAATGAGCAGGTAACGTTTCATAACTGCAGGATCCGTCACTACTGTTGCCGAATGCCCTCTTGCCCAGAGCTGCTGTATGACGTCCGGTCGGTGTTCCTTCATATACAAAAATACGTGAAGGTACCGTTTGCAGTAACTCGTTACATTGGCTCCAAGGGGACTATTGCAAGAAATACTTGTTCCCATAGCATCGCTGCCACTACGTGTGTGGGATTTACCAAAGATATTATCAACTCGCTGTTGTCCTGAACCCGACGGCCAATCAGGGGACGCTGATTGAGCTGCATCTGAGCAGGACTTAGATGCCCGTGCTGAAGCTGCAGTCACTGCTGCTGCTGCCGCTTCTTGAGCTGCCGCCGCTGCCACCGTCTCGGCCACCGCAGCGTTACCAGTGCCTTCCAAACTCCTTACCACATGACCACCCAATACAAAAGGTAATCCACACATGCTGTCCAACGAAGACCCTGCCACTTCCTCCATCGGCTGCACCAGTGGTACACCAAAAAAGAATACATTATTGCCTTCTTGTCCTGTGTTGCCGCCTTTGTTCATGGGCGGGGGAAAATTTTTGACGCCGGCATCCCTTCTTCGTGGTGGCAGTGATTTGGTCTTGCGTATCGCCTCTGAGAACGCCTCTTCAGCCGCAGCATATTGGTCCAAGTGAATCATCTCTCCACTTGTCAGCGCCAAGGCTTCCTCTGTCAGTGCATTCGTGGCGGCCACGCCAAACAATGAGAGTCCCTTGACAGTAGAAAGCTGCAGCGTGCCAACATCCCCCATGAGTGCCAGACGCTCATTTGTGGTGTAGGGAAACCGTATAATGCAGCCATTCGGGTTGAGATGAATGGAGGCATCGCAAACATGCAGGTATTCCAACAGGCTGGGTGAGAGAAACGCACCAATAGCCCCATCGGGCGTCCCACTGCCTTTGCTCCCGCTGTCGCTTGTTGTAACATCATGCGAAGAGGAAGAGGCACCATCGTCCATGGAACGCCTATCGCCCCTGATAAATCTGACACCGTCCTCCGCCGTTATTTCAAGGATAATAAACATATTTTCTGCGTCCACGCGGCACTTCACTCGCTTGTGCCTCTTCAGCATCCTGTGAACGAAGATCATAAGGGCAACAAAGTTGAGGAGAAAGGTATCCGGAACACCCGTCGACACCTCTACCTCACGCACTGCTGTCAAACTCTCCAACTTCTGGCGTAGCTGATGTGCCGTGATTTGGTCCACAACGTGACCACGCTCCACTGACATAGGCGACCAAGACCCCTTTGTCGTGGAGCGCCGCTTAGAGCGTTTGTGCGTCACCGCCGCTGCCGTTCGTGTGCTTTGGGAGCGCTGATTTGTCAAACTGTGCCGCGGTAATACATCGGCTCCGTCGCGCTCAGTGGTAAGTGGGGCTGAATTGCCCAACGCGTAGACGGTGCTGCTGCCAGTCGTCGAAGCACGCTTTTGCGTCCCACCACCACCACTAATACTACTAATAGGAGAAACACAAAAAACAGGGTCGCTGCTAACTGTCGACTGTCGCTTGCTCGTTCTCTGTATGGTTTCCTCACGGGCGACGCTGCTGGTGACAGGACGTGGCACACCGTCTAGATCACTGGTGACTGGACGAAGAAACAGCAGCACCAGATACGACTTCTCCGCAGAGTGGGGTGTGGTGTGTTGTGTTGGGTCACAGAAGGAGGACGGCAGCGTCACCTGGCTGATGCTCATAGCGTACACGTCAAAATATGATGCCTTCTGTGTCACAAGCACCGTAAGTTGCTCCTCCACACCCTCTTCAAATAGCCACCTGATGTCGGAAATTTCCTCCAAACGCTGCCGCTTCTCTCGCTGTTTTTGTTGTTGCTGTTGCGACGGCGGAGCTGGGACCAGAAAGAGGCGGCCGTGCGATGTCTGGTGCTGCGTTTGCGGCAGAGCAGGCAGTGTGGAGACTTTCCGCCCGCCCCCTGACCGCCGTTTCCCTGTCGGCCGTCTTGCGCTGCGGTAGAGACTCAGGACACTCTTCAACTCTTTGCCAGCGACATCTGTCAGCCAGCGGTAATGGAGGAGTTCGAGAGCGGCGAAATTACAATAAACAACGGGGTATTTCGGCGCACTGGCCGTGGACCTGCGGTTGCTGCGCCCTGTAGTGGGAAGGTTGCTGCATTCCACCACAACCAGTGGACACACGCAGTCTTGTACATTCTCTACGAGGTGGCGGCATACCTTCGCTGTACGGTCCACATGGAGAAACTGAGCAAAATCGTTGTATCTGTCGGCAACTCCACTCTGCACCTCACCGAGTAGCCGAGGCACCTCCCGCTCCGCCTGTGCACACAGTGGAGGAAAGACAAATCCGGCGTCATCCTCGTCGGGTGTAGCTGCCGCCTCGCTGTTGTTGTCTGCGTCAGTGGGAATGGGCCGAAATACAACCGGTGTATTACTCATCATTGCTAGTTGTGGCAAAGACGCCTGGTGGTTCCACGGCAGGGGAGACGAACTCGAGGTTGTGGCTCCTACATCAAACGCTTTACCACATGAAAATGCCTCAACTTCCGTATTCTGTTGCTGCTGGTGTTGCTCTTCTTGTTCCTCCTTCTGCTTTGAATCAACTGAGTGTACATACCTTGGAGTTTCGGGGGAAGCCACCGAGAGCGGAGGCTGAGCCTCCGTAAGAGCCCTGCCCTCTACAACATGTGCTGTACCATCGTCTATTCGCATCCGCAAGGCTTTATTGTCCAACAGCGCCTCAACGGCGGCCTGCTCGGAAGTCTTCGCTGCCAGCGCCCTGAGGAGGACGAAGCCGAGCCCCAACGTCAAGGCAAGCTGCGCGGTATCAAAAGCGAAACGAATGCTGCATCTGTTCACACGACCACCACCAAGGGAGAAGAAACCGTCGCCGAGAGAATTAGAGGATTGGGCGACGCTCAGCGTGCCTCGGTCAAGGATGAGCGCAGTGACTGCTAGTATTACCACCACAGCCCAAAGCCCCGCCATGACACGCAACGCGGCAGCAGAGAGGATGACGCGGCTGTCGAACCGCAGCCACCAGCTCACCGAGTGGAGGGACCGCGTGATGCAGCGGATAACTTTACGGTGAATGGGTAGACCTGTATGAACGCGCTCCACATGCTCACTCTTGGTTTCACTCTCTAAGCATACGACCACGGACTCCGTGGATTCGACGATTGTGGCGTTGCTGCTCTGCATGCGGTCCAGCGCCACCTTCACGCAAGCAACGACATTGTCCAGTAGAGATGGCAATGCATGGCGGGCGGCGCTGAAAGCACCACTACTGCTGTTGTTTCTGGAAATGGAGATACATTCCGAACAGGAGTTCAGGACCTCGAGCAAGTGGAACCGCACTTGCATGCCCTCCGCTGAGGCATCGCATGATTTCATTGTCACAGGTAGAAGCCGCTTTACATCACACTCCACACAATCGGTAAGGAGCGCCACAGTTTCAAGTGACACACCAGGACAGGGAACAGCGACAGAGGCAGAAGTAGCAGTACCAGTATCAGAGCTGCTTCCGTGCATATGCATCGGTCGCTGCTGGATATGCGGCGGCACTTCGTGAATGTGCCCCCCGTGCCAATGTCTTTCGTCCGCCGTCGCAGCAACGCGCAGCAGTTGAAGGTGGCGGAGCAACTCGCCGAGGGACTCCACGATGGTCTTGCTCCACGATAATGCAGCGTCGTTGGAGCTATTGTTGTTTGTATGATTGTTGGAGGTGGTACTGATAGCAACTTCCCGACGTGCGTCACTCGCGCCGACTGACGTCATCTTTTGCGGAGCCAAGAATGCAACGACGACAAAGAAAGCAAATCAAAAAAAAATGAGACGGAACTTAAAAAAAATGAAGTAAACAAACAAAAAAAAGCACAACAACTGGAAATTGTGCGTGCGTCTGTGTATGCTTGCAAGGCTGCCCCGCGGGCGTCCCTTTTCTGCCCCTGGGTGTATCCACGCCCCACTCCGCCTACTTTGGTAGCGGCAAGGGGGATGGACAGTCGAAGAAAGTGGGGCGGTACAGCTGCCGTGGAGTTTCCGTGCGCCTTTCTTTTCCTGATTCGATCCCCGCCCGTGCCCGTATGTCTTCCAGCTTCTGCCGCGACGGCAGTGAGTGCGTATGTCTGTGTGTCGTTCTGCCCCTTCCACCGCCTCTCCGTGCGAATCGGGAGGAGAAGTGAATAGGACAAAAAAAAAGACGAAAAGACGGATAAAAATCTTCTTCGGAAATACACACAGAGCGAGAATGTGTGTGCGTGTGTGAATGAGTGTGGGAGAGAGAGAGAGAGAAGAAAGCAATGGAGAAAGGGTGCGCGGGGTGAGCGAACGCATCAATAAGGAATGAGGTGCGTCCCCCACGACAACCACCCACACAGCAACAGGAATGCGATTGGTGCTGCATTGGCTGGGGGGTGAGCACCACGCAGCAGCAGAAGCGACACACGACCACACACGACGTGGAAAAGGTATACGGAGG